ATACTTCATACATTATCAATAGTGATTTATTAGTTAAAAGATGCTTGTTATCTTTACTGGTTTCTACTGTTAAATAGTATTTTAAAGTAAATGTATATAAAATACTACTTATAATTTGTTAAAAATAAGGAAAAATTAAAAAGAATATAGTTTTAAATTTACATGCTTCATTATGCATTATCAATTGACCATTAGTGTTTTATCAATTGCTTGCAAACTTTATCTGTTTTAGGAGTAATCAATTTTGTAAGATGCCAATTGACGTATCGACAAATTTATCATCCTTTAGAAAGAAAACAATACAAAAGAGAATTAATTTAGTTTATTCCATCAATTGTTTTCTTACAATTTTTGTTTTGGGAATGGCCTATCTTCTAGAGTAGGTCAATTGACAGAAAAAATTCATTTTTAAAGTAAAAACTGACAGACAGACTAACTAACTTACCGTCTAAACATCCCTCCGGGAGTAACACTGTCTTATGTGGACAAATATCGCATTTCATCCCTTGAATGTTGTGTTTACAGACGCATCTGCCTGTCATCTGTTCGCAATCATCTCGAACCGAGCCATGTTCATTACATCCACAAGCTAAAATAGAAAGAAAAGAAGAGGAAGAAGAGAAAAAACCACTTCCAAATAACACAAAATGAACGTGGTCTATCTTCTTTTCATCATAAAACTCACTCTTTGCTGATGTCATCAGCTTTTCGTAATATTTGGAGAAAAATCGTTATCTTTAACTACAAACCTTCCAAGTAATTTTTCTTATACTTAAACCCACCAACAAACCGATTTTACCTTCTTAAAAATTAATACAAAAGTCGGAAGTTTCATAAAGAAAAAAATATATTATTAATTTTAATAAATCCTTATAAATTATTTACAATTTCCTTCACCGCTTCTTCTTCTCCATGTTGAATTCGATTTTAATAATTCATGGATTAGATAAATCATGAATATTCATAACATTAACGCATGAAACCAGATTGATACAATAGAAATATATATATATATATATATTTAACTCAAGATGCTCTTAAAATAGAGAAAGTTTAAACTTTTGCTTTGTTTTAAGGTTTTTTTAATGGACTTGTACTGTACTTAAAAAAATAAAGGAGATCATTTGTTATCTTCTTAACAGATCAACAAGTTAAATGTCTAAAGTTTTTGAAACCTTTTACTGAAGTAAAAGTAAATTGAAAAGTCAGTTTAGTTGAAAAGACAAGTTTTTATATTATATAGGGCTAAGTATATATAAAACTTCCTTGTTTTCTAAACATTAAAAAGTCAATTTTTTTTCTGTTTATATTTTTCTAAACTTCTAATATAAGATCTTCAGTTTGACCCAATTCAATCTATGGCCAAGACGTATACAAACTGTAGAAACGTCTCCGTCACTTCCAGATGTTCTCTTCCTCTGAAAGAAAACAGAGGGTTTTCGTGTGGCTCCTAGCCAAACGGGACATTGCATGAAGGAATGTAATGGAAAACCTTTCCTCTTTCTCACGTGTTTAATCATTGGTTTAATTTTCCGGCCATTCTGCGTGATATTTCCGTTTCTCACCTTTGTTAAGATGGAAAGAATCATCCGAAAAGTTCGGTTTTTTCCTATTTTTTTTTATTATTATATTTTTTATTCTATCAAGAAGTTCAACTTGCGTGGAAAATTTAAAGGTGGTCTACAAACGTTATAGCTGATGTTAGCCTCTTTTTATGAGATATTTACTACTTTTATAAGTTTGTTTTTTTTTTATAAACTACTTTCGTGAATTTCTTCGTAATAATGGAAAAAGGGTAGTAAATTTATATACATTTTTATTATTTTTTTCTATATAAATGGATCGATTTTGAATTTACAAATAGGCTTTCTCATGACTCAATTTTATGTTAAATTAGATAAGTTTCAATATTATTTTTATACGTGTTTAAGTCATTATCTAAGCTATATTTTATTCTTTTTTTCATTTAAATTGCATTACTTTCGTATTTTTAGTTTTTTTATTGATTAAATTTATAATTTATTTTACAATTTTTAATATAATTCACATTATTTCAAGTTCACTTACTAAAACTATACGTGATCCATAAATCTCGAGAGATGCTGTTTCGTACAGATTAAACAGTTTCCTGACTTTTTATACAAGAAATTAATTTATAATTCGCTCTTATTTATTAAATTAATATTAAATAAACGTATGTGAATGTCATTCTTAATATATATTTTAAATTTCTCTCTTCTGATCCACGGAAATCCTCATCAATAGTTAAACTTAAAAAGATAAAATCTATAGAATTATATATAATTTAAAAATGCATCATCACTTATTTAGCTATAAAATTTAATATGTTTGAAAGAGTTTCTTGCGATTAGGATATTAAAAAAATTTACAGCTACATAAACTGCATCTGACATCAAGCAATTTAAATCTAATATATTCGAAGCCGTATCATAATCAACAAAAAATGTAATTAATGTTAACTTTAATCATGAATAATTCTCCACATCTGCAAGCTTTCTCAGCGATTTGGAAAAAAATAAGCAACTAATTTTATCAAATTTATATCAGGTTGGATTTCTCCTGCATTTTTATTTTATTATATATATATTATCAGATTAATAATATATATATATATATATATATATATATGTTATATGGAATTCAGAAGAAAAAATGCAATTTTTTAAAGTAGATCATATTCGATTATATCATTTCTTTTCCTATCACATATAATAACAGCGAGAGCGTGTGAGTAGTGAAGAGAAAAAATCTTTGGAGAACGTTTTAACGTTTCTGATCACGTCCGACCTACATCATAGCAAACGGACAACAAGGATCTTTCTAACAAGAAACTCGAACTCAGGATATGAAATCAGAAAGATTTCAATCCCTTGCATGAACTGATAAAATATTTACTTGAATGGCTACATTTTAAACAACTGCAGAAATCCAGGAAAGATGATAATTAATATAAATATCACGATAGTTTAATTTATATGCGTAAAACACAGTTTATTATTATTTAATTGATATGTATAGATATTAATAATGATTACTGTTAATCAGTATTAGTCGAGTAACGACGTAGTTTAATTAATATACGTAATTATCGTATATCATCCATACTTACGCGTGCAGCCGCTGTTTCCTTCTGCTATTTTATGTAAACCCCAGTAACCAGGTTCGCATCGATCGCATCTTAAACCTCCTACACCTGGTTTACACGGACATTGTTTACTGACAGGATCACAAGTTTGCTCGTAAGATCCCAACTTGTTACAGTTGCAGACATCTGTCGAGAAATACGTGATTAGTAATATGATATTAGTAACTTTAAAGTTACGTGCAAGCTAAAATCCGGTTCTAAATTTAACAGCCCTACTAGTAATAACCCAAAGCACACGAAATAGTCAATTACTTGTCAAAAATAATCAGTTAAGTTTAGTTTTAAAGGCTAGTTTTACCTTACTTTATTGATTTTTTACGTAGCGCCTGTAAATGTGTCTTTTTTGCAACATTTTTCTATAATGCAGTGAAGAGGACATTTAAAATTTATAATACTGATTTACGCGGAAAAAATAAATAAAATTATTTAAATTTCTGATTTATTTATTATAATATATAAATGTTTATTGTTTCTTTATTTATTAATGCAAACAAAAAATATTTCATACAAAATAATATTTTTATATGATATATAGAAAGGTTGTATCTTGCATCTCTCTCTCTCTCTCTATATATATATATTATTTATAGAGTTAAATTCGATCTATATATTTTATAAATTCCCATAAAGATATTTTATTGATCAAAATATGTTTTGATGCCAAGTTACGAGGAAAAGACACTTTTACAGGGGGTAATTCATTCGACAATAACAGAAAATGTCAGGATGCGAATAAATCTAATTCCCTTCTTTCGACAGTGAGAAAATATTAATAAATAACATTAAAAAGCAATAAAAATCATTCATACTCGGACAACCGGCATGATTTAATCCTTGAGCTGAAGTTTTTCCGTCAGGACAACATCCGTACATCGTCTCCTCGCAGTTCTTAATCATAGCCACTGCAAAAAGGTTATTAAAAATGAATTTTAAACTCAATTTATCAAATTAAATTAAAGTAAAAGAGGAGAACTTTTAATGACTAGGTCAAATGCACCGAGGTAATCTTGGTAATTGTTCTCTCATCTACATTTGTAAACCTATTCAATAAAAGACATTAACTCTACTCTTAAGAATAATAGTAATTATTTTTCTTCTCGGGCAATTTAACCATCGATACATCTGCAGAGAAGAAAAGACAGGTTTCTTCTCCCTGTTTCAAACACTATAAAGACAAACACCCCGAATCCAATTCGAAGAAATTCAACCAATGTTGGTTAAAGTTGTGTCGTTTAATCACTCCTACACAATTTCCTGACTAATATATCAAGATTTATTACCCGTGTCGATGTTAAACAGGCTATACTTTCGGATTTATCTAATTTTATCCCTTCTGTAACCATGCCGAAGTATATTGTTTCTCTAAAGAATAAACAATTATTTTTTTAGATTTGTTTCTCCATCAGATACATGTAGTTAATACAGAGTAATGAAGAATTTATTGCGCTTTATCTATCCAATTTAGGAAGAGAAAAATAGTTAGAAAGAAAAGGAAAACAGTATATGATTCTATCGATGATTATTTTATGTTTTTTTTCCCTACTTACCTTCTCTACAGCAGATGGCGAAAATAGCAGATCGATGACAAAAACTATCTGGAGGACACGTCTGCGATTTAGGACCTTCTCCACAATAATATTCTTCGTCCGAAACTGGATCTCGAAGAGGCGATTCTCCATCACAAGGCAGCAGTTTAACGTCTGAAAGGAATTAATTTTTGATAGAATTATTTAAAATGCACTCGAAGAGACATTTCTGAAGGTTAGAGAAATCATTAAGGATGCGTCACAGTTTTGGAAAAGGATAAAAGTAAAAAAAATCGATAGATTTTGCACCAAAATGTGTTCCTTCTCCACTTTACCACATGCTGATCTTAATCAAATTTACGTAAAGATTACTAAAATTCTATTATTAATGAAGCAGATTTATTGTTAAAGTCATAAAACGAATCTCAACCGGCACTTCCATTTAATTACGTCTCGGAATATCCATATCTGAATATTAAACAGTTCCAAAAATATACAAAGATTAGAATAAAATAAGAAAAAGTATATTGATTGAATAAGGTTAGAGAAAATTATGCAAATCGTAGAAAATACCAACCACAGACCACCATTAAATAATTATTTTATCTGTTCACTTATCGTATTTTTGGGAAGGAAGGGGAAGAGATCCATGAATAAATAAGGAATAAAATAAATTTAAGTATGTTTCTCTGCCTTATTCATCGTTATACAAATTAACTCGATGACAACAATAATTTATTTCCGAAGCTTTGACAGTCAACTAGAAATTATGTCATGTCCACTCGTCCCTCTCCTCGATAATTTTTCTTTTTTCTGCTCTTCCTCATCACTTTGTCGATAATTTGTTTAGGGGTAAAAATCTGTCGTTTGGCTATGTAAAGGACGTTAATTTTTGAAGTATTCTGATACCTATCCTCATCAATAATTAATAGCTTAATGCTTGCACTTTTCAGCTTAGTTAATGCGTGTTAATTACCTTTTTGTAACAAGATTTAAAACGATGTTAAAAACCTCTATATAAAATTAACTACTTGTAAAATTAATTGGATGAAATTACCTCCACACTTCTCCAGATTGGCTGTCTGAAGAGACTGTTGGAGTCTGCACGACTCCTCTCTCATTTTACAATCGTTGTCATACAGTTTTCCATCCGATCCACATACTGGATCGCGTATTGTTGGGCATTGGAAGTTGCAAACGCACCTGGGCACTCCATCAGCATCGTAATCGCACATCCCTCCATATTGGCAGGTTTTCTCGCATGTGCTCATCCCGGAACCGAGATCTGTAAACGGAATTTACATTTAATCTGTCTGGCATTACTGAGAATTTACGTTTTGGCACGAATTCCTTCGAAGAATTTTATTTATCTGTTTATCTGATAAGAGTAGAAATTTAAATTAATTCTAAATTTGTTTATAAGATATTAAATTAAACGATAAACTAATATAAAATATCGCTTTCTCTTCTTACATTTCAGAGATATAAATAGTTTTTGGTGTGTTATTTCTACTTATAAAAATATCTCTTCAGATGAAAACTGCACTTTATCATCTTTAACCTAAGAGCGAAGAGAATTTTATGAGATTCAAAATAAAAAAACGAGAGAAATATATCGATTTTCAAGTTAAATAATCGATACTGCCAAATCGATCTTGGCAAAAATACTTTTGCACATATAAAGATACAATTCTTAGTTTCCTTTTTTTCTCGTTTCTACTTCCTCCCTTAAAACTGAAGGCGATAAAACAACAAAGAAGATAATGATCCTTACCAAGTCCGGATCCTCCAACATCTTCGCATTCTCCATAGAAGAGAATGCTTAAATCTTGACTCTGTTGGCAAGCTGCCTGCCACATTTCGCATTCATTTTGATAAGTCACACCGTCATTGGCACATATAGGTTCGTGTGTGTCCGGACATTCGGTAGGACACACGCATCGACCGTTTTCGCATCGAGCACCATATTTGCAATGTACGTTTTGACACAGATCTAGAAAGAAAAAAAAAAGAAAAAATAAATAAAGAATTTAGATCCCAAAAGTAAACTCGAATCGTCTACATATTCCTCCTATTTTTATCGTTTTTCAAGTAAACGTCAGATTTTTATGACAGTTATAACCGTATCCACTTTTAAACTTTCATTATTTATACAAATTTATGTACTTTTGCTATTTCCCGGTTTATTTTCAAAAAATACTCCTACATATTACGCCTATTCCGTGTCCAATCGATAGAACAAGGAAGTAATCAAAGAAGAAATCTTCAATTTTAAGTTTTCAGACCGAGAAGATGCTTTAAATCTTTCTTCCTCCTTCTCCACCTCCTCCTCCTCCTGCTCCTCTTGCTCTTCCTTTTTTCTAAACGATGCTACGATCGAAACTAAACAAATCATTTCTTCACAATGTTTTCCCATTAATAAAATTATTAATGTTTAAGTACTTAATTCCATTATTTCGAATAAATAAACAGTTTTAAAAGCGCGCACAAGCGAAAGTCATTATTCTCTCATTACGCTCTGGAGAGTTTTAAGTAGCTTCGCGCCTTCATCAAATATTAATAAGAAAATATTCAGATAAAAATGAATCGAAGGGTTAGAATACCAACCGCATCTTCCTCTAGATGCCACCATCACATATTGTTGTTTCTTACAAGCTGCAATCCTCATCTCGCATTCATTAGGATAGGTAACACCATCCGTACCGCATACAGGAGATTCGAGCTGTACCAAAATAAAATATCACAATTAAAAAAATTTTAATCATAATTAAAATAATTTAACTTCAATATATTCGTAAAGCATCTATCTGCGTTTGATGTAACTTAATTAGTTTTTCAGATTGAGGGTTACGTGATTTTTTAAACGCAGAAAGAATAATGGAATTAAGGAAATAATTCCTCTAGGGCACTCGTTTTCCCTAACTGAACTTCTTCTATAATCGTACAAGTTGTTTCTCTAACGGAGTAATTAGCAACTTGAACGAAATTAGCAGAAAAAAGGAAAAAACTTTAGACGAGACTACCTAATTAGTGGATACTCCTTAGAGATTTTTCCCTCTTTTTTTCCCTTTCTTCTTCTTTCCTCTTTGCCTTTTTGTCAATTTTTCCCTTTTTAAACCAATATACTAAAAGTCTTCTCCACTTTCATTGTTTAGAAGTAAGCAATTCTTTTTATTTTTTTTTTAAATTCGAAGATAAATTGTTTATAGTAAACCAATTTATCTTCAAATCAACGAAACGTTTATTTATATTAAAACACTTTTACTTACTTAATTTTTACGTTTCACTGATTTGTACACAATCGTTCTTCATTAATTTTTCTTTTGTTTAATTAATGAAATTATATTCTGTTTTCTTGTTTAAGGATGCGAGTTTTCTTGTTATTAAAACTGTGTTGTGTACAGAGTAAAGTTGTACGAGGTTAGGTGTATCAAGATGTAGCTATCCTGGTTTAGGTACAGGATAGGCGCATTTTGAATCAGGGTAAAGGGTGGTTACGTAGATGAAGGCAGTCATTTCTGCACACTTGTTCCTTTTCTGAGCTTGTGTAACGTACGATATCTTCCTTTAGAAGTCTGTTATCTTTCTCCAAAGAGATCAGATTTCTAAACGAATTTTTTGTGGGTGTACAACAGACCCCTTTTAAGTCGAGATGCTTTAGACTCTTGCCCCATCTGCACAATCTGCAATCTGTAATTTAGATAGATTGAAGTAAAAATTCTGCTTGGAAAAGAATAAAAGTTGTTGTAGGTTAGGTACACCAGAATAAAAGTTATGTTGAATTAATACATCAGGATAAAGGATGCTTTGCGTTATATGTATTAGATAAATTTTTGTGGTTGAGTTAGATATATCAAATAAGATTATTCTGTGTTAGATACAACAGGATTTAGTTACATTTTGAGTTAGGTACAGTACAGCAAGATAGATTATATTGACATAGGTACAGTACAGTACATCGGATAAAGCTATTTTGAGTTAAATGTAGCTCTATCAAGATAAAATTATGTTAGATCAGACATACTAAATAAGATTTTATTGGGTAAAGTACACCGAAATACATATTATATTGCATTTGATAGGGGTGAGGTTATATTTTCTTGGAAACGGCGGAAAAAGATTGCACTAGACAAATAGGATAAGGCTAGACAAAGTTAAGTATGATTGCGTTAGATCGAGGTAAGTTTATTTAATAACCAAAATAAGATGAAGCAATTTGGTGCGAGGTTAAATGTAGGAGGATTAGGATGCGCTAGATTAGATCATTCTGAATAAGATTGTGCTAAATTAGACAGATTAAAGATCGATATGTCAGATTAGGTAAATTGCAATAGGATTTTGCTCGATTAGATAGATGCCAGCTTGTGTTAGATAACCAAGAGCAGCATCCAGTGATGTAAATTGTATGAATTTATGTAATTTTAATGCAAAAATAGGAGGTATATTAAATTAATTACAATTTGGTTTGTGTTCAATTTTCTTTTAACTGTAGTAATCCGTGCTTTATTTAAAAGAAGAATGTGTGTAGAGAAGAAGATGAGGCTGGCCTGGGGTGAGAATTGAACTTCTTCGTATTGACTGTCTATTGAATTTCTGCATTGCCATCAGGGCAGATAAATTCGTACAAATTGAAGAAATGCTTTGTTAGCTTAGGCACGAATGCCGTCATGATGCTATTGTATACGTTAACTTATTCAACACGAGTTTATCATTAATTTTAATTAAATTTCGCTTATATTTAACAAGCATATAAAGTTACGAGTATGAAAAATATTGGAAAATTTTTATATAAATAATTCAAAAGTTTATTTCCATTTTATTCTTAATAGTCAGATTTAAAGAAGTTGACAAGTTGACAGAGTTCTCAATCTTGTTAGTAAATCCTAATTTTTCTTATTGTGCATCTGCGCTGCAAATTATTGCTTGTCGATACTGCGAACTACGCTTATCCCTCTTGTGACGTTACTCGCTTTATTTGGAATCTTCTATTGACCATGATTGGGCCAGAACGATGCGGAATCTGGCAAGCATTGATCTTGTCTCTTAGCGGATTGTTAGAACTGACATCTGGGATTAAGCAGAGTGGAATGCAGTAACTTTTCTTCGTTATAAATCTCTTAATCTTCTCGATCTTTCTTACTAAAAAACTGTCCAAATCTGATCTTTACGACCTCTCTTAAGTTTTACAACCGATTCTTTATCCTAAAACGTAAGAAGGTCGCTTCCAGCTTGCCGGATAAACAAGAGCATCCTGCATATTTACTAATTAATTTTGGCGAAAAACATCCCCTGAATCATTGATCGATAAAGTAGATTTTAGTTAAACACAAATAATACTTTAAACACGCATAAAAACGAAAGAAAAGTTTCTTCTCTCGAGCAAGATCTCTCCCTCATCACATGATGCAGCATCAAGCATCATTTCTCCTATCCGTCATTTTTCCCTATCGTTGAAAAATGTCGTTTGGCATCATCTACATGTGATCAGAAAATATGATTTATAATCTAACTCGCGCGAATTTCTATGATAAAATTTAGAGAAATTCTCTTCCGCAACAATTTTTTCCTAAATTAAAAATGGATTTTAAGTTAAATAAACATTAAAACCTTTACACGAAACACCAGAATACATGCACTAGAACAATGAGAACTATAGAAATTTATTTATTTCAAACGTTAACACATTTAATTTACATCAACAATTAATGTAGAGGAACACAAACAATGTCTGAATCCAATTAAAACTAGACAATTATGACTGGAAGTATGTAAACATTGCATTAAACGTATCATATGCACGCTGGATAATAAAGGTTGTACGTATGTACATCCGCTGCACTTATTTATTGCTAAAAAAGTAAAATTTAAGAATAAATTTTGGATAATTATATAAGATCCGTTTAATCTTTTCTAATTTCCTGTTCGGAAATTAGGAACCGATGTGGCATCCTATAGAGCCAGAGGGTTGATGCTGTTGGAAAGTTAATTTTCTAATCTTGCACCAAAGGTTTTTATCTTGTTTTGAACAATCTTTTAAAAGGTTTTTTCGAATGGGAAAGATTTATCTGTACGGATTTTTTCTAACTTTCTAGAAGACGAAAGTTTCTAGAAGAAGAATGCGCATCATCCAGATCACAGAATAAAATCTCAAAATTATCCATCATCAATTATTTAAAAGAATTGAATGATAAAGAAGAAAGGAAACAAAATAAAGATGGTTTCGTAAACAAAATTTCTGCACAAAAATCAATTTAGAAAGAGGACGAGAAGAATGACAAATGGCTTCTCTTCTCCCCACTTCCGACCAAGTCAATGTTAGAAGACATAAAATCCCTTACTTTGCTATGTTTCAAATTCATTCAAGCTTATAAATACTTTCACTAAAGGATGCTATTAATTACACCAAGTGACAAGAGAGATTTTAATAGTTTCCACACAACATAGCATCGTTAGGAGTAAAAGTATCGATTCACTTAGAGGTCAAGTATTGAATGTAATTCCTATTATACTAATTGGCGATTTAGTACTGATAATAACCAGTGTACAACCCGCCCAAATCTGTAAATCTTGTGAAAGAAGAAGAATTGGTGGAGATTTAAGTGATGCTTATCTCTATGGAAACGACATCGAGTTTGATGAAGTCACGGAAGTATTCAGTTGTAAACCTTCTTTAAGTAATTATAAAACCATTGTTTTAACCTTTTCCGTAGTTAGTCTTGATTTAATTTACTACTAAACACACTAAATATACCACTTACCGTGACGCAGGATTGAGGGCAAACACATCTGCTTTCTCCTTTCCCTCCGCTCTCACAAAGAGCGTAATATTCGCAATGTTTGTTCTCGCAACCACCTGAAATGAATATAATTTAACTAGATTTACTCTATCAGATGCAATTAGCAAATATAAACAGTAAAAATTAGCTTTGGGAGCGAGCGGGGAGTACTTTCCTCCAATCATTTTTTTTCATTAATTTTATCACACTTCTCCTCCTCCTCCTCCTCCTCCACTCTCGTCTCTCCTCCGATATTTATCACAATTAAATTAGTTTAAATTACCTAGATGCTACGTTATCTATTATCTAACGATGAATAGATAATTATTAAAAATTGCCTGGCGATAATGAAAAGTGATTTATCTTACAGAGATGATAGATGACTTTAATCAAACTCCTTTCCTGTCAATTCATTATCTACATCCTGGGTTATCTGAGATGATAGATGAATTTGACCAGGAAGGGTCATCGATCGCGTTATCTTATTATCTTACCAGCTTCGAGAATTTATCACATTAATTAGTTTAGCAGTTATTAATTTCAGATAATGGATGCTCTATGTAATTTTATCTTCCTTACTCTTATTATCTGGATGGAATAAACGTTAATACGTGTTATATGCAATATTCTGACAGATATGAATAATTTTCATTCGAAAACGATCTGTATCTATTATCATATTGATGATGATGATGATGATGATGATGATGATACATCGGTTAATTAATATATATAATCTATAAAATGTATTTATATATTTTATATATATAATGGAGTGAATCCCTTTATTAATTATTTTTCCAGTAATTTAAACTGTTGCAAGTCATAAACGTAGTTAGATACAAATTAATTAACAGAGAATATCATCGAAATACGCGAAATTCCGCATCATTTATACACATTTTCATCGCAGAAAACTGTAATTATGCCATCAATGAATAGCTTAATATACGAAAATAGCAATAACACCTTTAACCATCATCATAAACGAAGCATAAATTGCATTATAACATAATATCTGGTGAAAATTATCGATTATAAGCTTATTTAAACGTGTTTTTTAATGTTTTACATGTCCATTTATCTTAAATTTTGGCCATTTTAACTAAATTTTATACGTGTAGAACTTAATTAAGTAAGGATATCATTTGGTTTACAGATCTTGTTCCGGAACATATTTAAAACGTGTGTAATAATCATCATAAAAAACAATTATTTAAAATTAAAAACTAAATTATCTTCTGGCAAAGTATCTGCAAAATGATCTCTCTCTTCTGCTTTTAACTAAATTTAAGTTTTAATCTTAGACATCTCGTTAAATTCTCAATTAACTCCCTTCTAACATACATTAACAGAACGAAAATAAAATCCGTTAAGGAGTTTGTAACGAGATTTTTTTCATTCCTTTTCCCCTTTTCATCCCTTGAAAACAATGAAATACTTTACTTTGATGACAATTTAATGGTTAAAAAGAGGGAAAATACTTTTTATTATTTATATAAAATGCTACACCATTGTTTTAAATTTTTGGAAAATGGAAATTTTTGTAATTTACTTCCAATCTTGCTCTACATCCTCTTAAAAGATGAGGAGGATGAAGAGGAGGAGAAGATCGTTTCCTTTGTTATTTTAGTACACGAAATGCAAACATCTCTCTCTCAATCATTTTAATTTAAAATTTACAAATCATTTCGTCATATAAAACGTATAACAAAAAATTAGGAGAAGAAATAATAGTTTATATACTAACTTCATATACACATATCTAGTAATATGAATATGCAAATATGCAATTTTCTAGTTGAAAAAATAAAAAAATATGGTTTAAAAGCTATTATTTTATTGTTTAAAGTTCTCATAATTGCTCGAGGAAAGAAATTTACATTCATTATTATGCAAAAATATCCTGTCGCTCCGCTTAAAAATTGGTTTATAAAAGATAACATTATTTTAGCGAAATTTTCCAAGAAATTTTAAGAATTTAATAAAGATTCTAAAGAATTTAAATGTAAGGAAGTTTATCTATCGAATAAATCAATAAAAATTGTATCTAATTTTGTATTTTATTTTTTAAACGGGAAATAATTTATGTACGATTTTACAATTACGTGATTCTTATCTCAAAAGATATTTATTTTATATTTTTTTATACTGTAGAATAATATTTATCACAAGAATAATTTAATATTCTCTGCTTATTACCTAAATAAAGATATTGCGTGATGTAATTACGACGGAGAAAATTCCAATTTCTCTAAATAAACTTTCTAATGAACGTAGAAGTTTCAATCAATCTAAATAATCAATGCTTATTATCAATTATCTAAGATAAATTATCGTTTAGTGAGTTTGTAGAAGGGATTTTTCCGCTAATCTTGATCGATTTTAAGTTGATATGGTCAACAAATTAATTTATTTTTTTGATATTAAACGAGGAGACATTATCATAAATTTACATGATCGATATTTAGAAATGCCTTAATCTGTGGTAATTGTTCTGTAATTGCAAATGTGAGGTAGTCTAGAAGAAAATTATAATGGGATAAAGAACTAAGAATAGATGCTGAAACTGAAAATCCAGGACGAAGAAGAAGAGGAGTTAAATTCCTTTCAGCATCACAAAGAAGGGAAAAAAGGATATTTAAGAAGACAAAAGAAAGATATATTTTTAAAAATATTAATTTTTCACTTACTACAAAGTCCTCTGTATGCCACTTGAATGATTTTTCTTTGATCGCAAGCTTCCCTTTTTAATTTGCATTCGTTTGTGTACGAAATTCCATCACTTCCACAGATTGGACGAAATTCCTCCGAGCAGGTTGGACATTCGCAGCTGGGTTCTCGACCTTTCTCTACGCAGATTGCACCAAAATCACATCTGTGACTGTTACACGGTCCAGCTTCTCCTGAAAAAAACCCCAAAAAACAGCATGAAGTCAAGAAAAAAATCCCTTCTTCCACGCCAAAAAACGGACGTTCAAAACAATTGCCATAACGCTTTAATCGATAAGTCAGATGGAAGAAATTATTAAGTGAATGAAAAATTCGAACATTAGCATGTATAATAACAGTAAAAAAGGACAAGAAAAATGGGAAGAAGTTAAAAGTAATCCTATTTTTCCCATTTGATACGTATAAAAAAAGGAAACGTTAAAGAAGTATACACGAAATTTCAAAAGATTTACCAAGTTAAATCTTTAAAAAAACCAAGAAAATATGAATTGGTAGGAGTGTCAGATGATTACATTTGTAAAATTTCAACGAACACAACAGATAACAAGATCAGAAAAATAAATGGAGCTAATGCAAAAACCATTCGTCATAAGAGTCTTGACCTTTTATTATTCTCTGCCAAAGAAGAAGAAGTTTCTAACATTTGTTCATCCATAATCTTATTCAGAAACTACTTGATAATCCTTTCAGGATTTATCATTTAAGAATAAAAGGAAAAATTCCGCTACAATTATTATTTTCTAATCGATTTTTAACTCTAAGATGAAGAATATAAATGTTACAATTTGTCATAACTGCGAGAAAAATAATTTATTACACTACTTCATAAAGTTTCCAAAGTGTTAAGTTCGTGTTAGGAATGTTTAATATTGGATAGAAAATCATCTTTTATATAGTAATTGGACATAGGTTATTCATTGGTTCATGAATATTGGAAGTGAGATTAACTTGAGTTATTTTTCACTGTCTGAGGATCTATATATCTATAATCATCTAGATTTTACAATGTTACTTTATGGCAAATTCTTTGATGGAATATTTGTATTTTTTTAGGATAAAATTCCCTAATAATTCACGTTTTAGAGTGAAACTCCATTAAAGATGCTTCTCTTTAGAAGAGGAAGAGGAGAGATGGAGAGGGAGCAATGCGTGTTTTTCTACTAAAATATGAGGCAGAAACGTTCACTTCAGCAAAATTTAAAAGCAGCGATCGTTCAAAAAATAAGAATAACAGGTTTTTAACTCTTACTTATAATTTATAAATACATATTTTTTTCCTGTTAATTTTTTATTTTAGCAAATTATAGATGATCGATAAATGAATCAATTATTGAGTAGTTCGGGGTTAGTTTTGCAAAGGAGAAACAGTTTATTTAGAGAGTACCTGTTTGCTTAACTTGGAAGTAGTGGTTAGTTTGTCTAGTAGGCCCAAAGACTGTTTGTTTACTCTGGCTGATCACCACGCCTTTGTCCAGTCAGGGAGGAGTAACGGGTAATCAGAGAACGGGGCTTGTTGACCACAAACGGGCTCAAAGTAAACGAGAAACTAAAGAATCCAAAAGACAAGGAACTGAAGAAATCATGAGAGTTCTTGTAAATGTCATACTGGCAAAATCCAACATCGAGTTTCCTTCAAGTGTTTACATTGGCTGTTGTGAGGTTTAGAAATGATTAAGAATGAATAGGCCAAGTGTCCTCCAGTGGCAAGATTGAGATGCTCTTCATTTTCTACCAATTATGGTTAATTTTCAGCTTGGCTAATTGTTAAAAGACAATAAAAAACGCGTTTTTATTTAATTTTAAGAGGATATTTCTTAATTACGTATGGAAGAAAACAAGACATCAATTGATTCGGATCTAAAATAAACAGAGAATTGAAGATAACTCTGCGAAATACTAATGCAAATCTTTAATAAATAAAGACTTAGAATTGAAGATAACTCTTAAAATTAATAAATTTTAAAGTAAATTAATTAATTTAACAGTTTAAAATTAAGTTATAACGTCGGATAGAGTACTCACCACACGCTCCTCGATAAGCCATACTGATGTTTTTCTGTTCTAAACATGCTCTACGTATTAATTCGCATTCGGAATCGTAAGTGAGACCATCGTTGCCACAAACAGGCCTCATAGCAGGTTCGCAAGGAGAAGGACATTGGCATGTTGCTATCCCGTAATGATCGATGTGACATTGCTGTCCTGGACTACATCGGAGACTGTCACAAGGATTGACACCTGGAAAAATTCAATTTTTTACATCCACGCGAGAAGCTGAAACTTCTTTTTTTTAATCTCTGGTTGTAAATGTGGGCGTAAAAGGTGAACCGATTAGCTCCTTTATGTTGATCATGAATAAAAGATGAATGTTGGCGACATCTGCGCTCATCGAAATTTTCTCCCTTCTCTACATATTCAGTTTTGAATATAAATTTCCGAATTTAAACTTTACAAAAATACAATTTACTGAAGTAAAAAATGGGAGGAAGTGAAGAAAATCCTGATTAAAATTCTATGTATTAAGATAAACATTAAATGATAATTTTCTTAAGAGAGAAATGGAAGTGGAAGAAAACACGTGAGAGATGAAGGAAGAGGGAGAAAAAAATAATGATGAAAGATTGTTTATTTAAAAACTTATGACAGAAAATTCACTCAGAAATGAAACTATTCATTATTTTCTCGTGTTTACATTAAGTGAGGTAGAAAAGTTATAAAATTTCCAACTAGAAACGTTGTTTAGTTTTCATTATCGTACGGTAGTATTGTAAGAAAACGATAGAAAAATATATTAAAACAGAAGATAAAACATTAAGAAAAGCTAAAAACTTTCGTGCTATGACAGAACTAACTTTGAAATTTAAACAAGTTTATGTATCTATAATCGAAAAGGTCGCCTTCTTCATCTTCTTTTTCCTCTCTTCGTTTCTATTTGGCTAAGATATAACTACTAACCAGAGTATATAAAATTAGTTTATAACATCTACGGGGATTTATCTATGTAAACACAGTTAATAAGTGCGCAAATAGAATAGAGAAATTGCGTTCCAAACACGCAATTAAAATGGGAGGTTTGCTCCGCATCCCGGAGGATGTACTGACCTTAGTTTTGCACAGAATGCAAATGAATTACAAATATCAGCATCGAGGGAAATTAATATAATATTAATGTTGTTTCTGACGAGGTTAGTAGCACGCTTGAAATGTTTTTCTTATATTTATAGGATTTATACATTTAGGTACTGTACTACATAGAGTCCATAGGGATATCAACAGGTTACTTAAAAAAATCTTATGTAAGATGGAAATAAGTGTAGTATCGCGTGAAAATGTCAAGAATATCAGAAAATATGGTTAGTATTCTTTACGTTTTTTTTGAAGATTTTAAGTAAGAGATGTTCCTCTGAGGATCTGTAGAAGGATGCTGCAGATAAAGCTATTTTCTTATTAGATAGTTGGAGAAGTATAAATGTATCTGTAGTGATATAACAGGATTTTTTCAATTAAATAAATTTAAAATGTTTAAAAAAGCGAATAAAAAATTAAGTTAAAGTAAATAAGAATTTTTAAAATTTAACGTAAACATTTTTTATTTATAAATTGCATTTTAAAACTTATAAAATTGTTTCTCTTTTCTCTTGAAGATTCATTTGTCATTGATGACAAAAAATCTCCTCTTATGCCTTTAAAATATAGTAAAATTCTATAATAGAGGATAAATAAAAATATATAAATGCCCAATTATCCAAGTCTGTATAAGAATTTTAATAAGAATCATTTTTTCCTTACGCGTCAATATATTTATCTACACATAAAAGCCATTAAATTAATTTAATTATATTCTTAAATATCATGCATAAAAAACTCAGAGTTAGTTGGAAAGATAATTTTAATCTCTTTAAATATTAAATAGCGTAAGAAAGAGGAAAAATAATATATCGAGAGTAAATTAGATACCTTCCATCAGCACTCTTTAACTAGAAAGCTTGCCAAATGATGCTCAGAATTAAATTTCATTATGAAATACACAGAAAGGTAATTTTTGTGTATTAAAACCAAAAATATTATATTGCAATTAACATTATTACCTGTGTTTAGAAGTAGTAAATTAACAGTTATACTATCGAATTTCAAAGAGATCACCTGCAATAAGATTATAAGAGGTAACTAGTAAACTAGCAATATTTTATCTTTTTTGGTCGGAAGAAAGAGGGATTAACGATCCTAATCTTCTTCCAGAATTGTAGTGACATTAATCCTTTGTTGGATAACTTCATATACTTTACCAATTACTCGTTTCAGGCTTGACATTGTAGATGATATATATAGTATATAGTACGAGAGAAGAATCAACGACGAACTAAATCAATCTATGATAGGTTATAAAAAAAGTAGAATGACCGAATTCCTGTCGTTGATATTTTCCCTTTCTTTTATTCCTTAGCTAGTACTTAATGGCACGTCTATCAGGACATCTACAGGATAATTGCTAACTGTCTGACACGACAATCTAATGGGAAAAAGAGAAATTCGTAGAAGATTCTGAAGCTGGCCATTAGCAGTCCGTGTTTTTCTCTTGGCTCCATATAAGCGCCAGGTAATCAAAGAAACTTTTTCTCTTGATGAGATATGGCATCCAGTTAAATTATTTTCTAACGGCATGTTGTGATCTGGAAGAATTCCGAGAAGAAAAGTAAAGTGGAGAATTGGCTCCTTTGCATCCGCATCTTTTTCTTGATACTCTCTCTTCTATTCTACTGATTTTTTCTCTAGTTATTTCGGTTATAAACTGGTTAAATTACTCATATTTAAGAATTCTAACTATATTTAAGCATATTTAAAATATCACTCGTTTTGTCGAGGGGGTAAAAATAACTTCTCGTGAGCCATATTAATTAAAAGTGAGTTAAGCTATTAAATAGGCGTTTAGAGTGGGAAGACGTGTTCTAGTAAAAGTTTTGCTTTAGTAAACGAAATCAAAAGTATGTGAAATTAAATTGCAAATGGCAACACACGATATCCATTAATTAAAATTAAAGTTAAAATATTTAATGCGTAAATATTTTTGCTTAAAGATGAAAAGGTGAAAGTCATTTATTATAGAATTCGACTTGTAAATATAATTTTATGAAGTGTTCAAACCTTGTTACAAGTAAATGCCGTAGCTTCAGATACTAAATGTCATTTCCTAGTTTCAGATTTAACTTTGAATCAAGTCTCATCTCACTTTTTAATACGTAATGATGTTTGGTTTATAAAGGAAACTTTGTATAAAGTTGAAAAAATATTTAAGAATTTTTTTGTATTTGTACAAACTTTCTAATCTTTACAATAAAACTATTCATACTTAGTAGTAAAATGATTGCATAAAGTTTCAATATTAACAATACTTACGACTTTTCTCTCTTTAGTATCAATCAAAACAGCTGGAAATTCAATTATTTCGTGCTGATATTCGGCATTTCCGTCACAAGTGGCTTCAAAGTCGATCACACAGAAATATTTGTACGGACATTCGCATTCATCACTTTTCAAAATTTGTGCCTGCATCAGTTTTTGCTCTTTAAAAAATGTTTTAAGTCTCTTTTTTAAAATTTCATTTGTGCCTCTGTAATATAATAATCTAATAAGAACTAAAGATAAAGACAATAATTTTTTACATTTTTTTTTAGCCATTTCAAAATTTATATGTACAAAATAATGTGTAAAAATTGGCATTCATATAATGCAACAAACACTAACAAAAACATTAAAAGACTATAAATGGATTTCCAAATATTAATACAAAGGCTTCTTTAAATAAAGAAGGCAATTTCTGTAATTAAAAATTTATATTCATTATTATGTATGATGCAATGNATTTTTTTAAATTAAAAAAAGTTTAAGAAGGAAGAAATTCTTAATAAAATAAAACAGATTTAAAGGTGAAAAAATTATTTTAAAAAAGAGAAAAATTTAAACAATTCCGTGACAGTTAGATAGGAGAGTAAAGAGCAAATTTACTTTTGTTATGTAAACTGTTTGGAGAGGAGCCTCTCTAGTTAATTCCATTTTATTTATTGATGCGAAACTATTTTCGTGTAAAAATATTCTTATCTGAAAGAGAATAAAATATGCAGATAGATCTTCCAATAAAAGTTCAAACTAGTAGAAGGAAAAAGCTGAAAGATTTTTCTGAATTCCCATTACTAATCCTGTTTGGTAAATATCACTGTGTAGTGTAGTAGTTAAGCCGTTTGTATATATAAAGAGAATGTTTATCATAATTAAAGTAAACATAGTTTCTGCTTACCTTTGTTGCATTCTCCGCTATAGATAATACGAAGATTTCTTCTTGATTTACAAGCCTCTACACGCAAAGTGCATTCATTTGTATACGTTTTACCATCAGATGCACAGACAGGTCGAATATCTGTTGTACATATAGCATTACATCTACAAATGGGATTTCTGTTTTCGTCGAGTTGACAATCTTGAAATGCTGGACATTCGACACCTTCGCAAGGATCTGAAGATTTTTATAAAGTTTTTTTTTTCATTTTAATATATATATTTTTTCTCGTTTTATATATTTAAAATTCATTTACAGCTTTTAAAAATCTTTAAAACAGTAAATCTATCTTAGTTAAAGCGCACCTTGTATCCTAAAAAATTGCGTGAAAGGTTGTATTGATTATTTAAATGTAGTTATGAATTAAAAGAAAATATAAAAAAAACATAAAGCGCTCCTACTAAAAATAAAATTAAAATAAATCTTAAAAGAGGCAATTCTTCCTCTTAAGTTGATTTCTCTTTAGAATTATCCAACTTTCCTTTCTTAAAATGTTGAAACGTAAGAAATAAACCACATTGTATATTGATTTTTCGATGAATTTTTTTTATAAAGTTAAATCCATTTTATCCATTTTCCTCTCTATATATTAAAAAGTTCATTTGAAAAATCTGACATTCCATATTTTAGAAAAAAAAGAGGAAGAAGAAAAAGAAAGAAGAGAAAGGTTGCGAATATCTAAATATAGAATAAAGTTTCAAATTTCCGATTATAACTGGAAAAGTTTCGGTAACTGGTTGTAAAATTTAATTAATATGTGTTAATGTTTAAAGGATATTTATCATAGTGTAATAGCACACACGGTTGGGCACGTCAGAATTTAACTAAAATTATCAATTGTCAATCGTCCGTATAGATCCCGACTAATTATTACAATAATACTTAACTCGCAGCATGTAATCGTGCATGACAAAGTTGTTTGCGTGACAGAGATACTTAAAGAAAATTACATGCCTTAGACAAAACGTTACACCTATCTGTTAGAACGTAACGGTCCGTCAATATCCCTTTATCATCATGGCCAATCTGATAACCGATATGATAACATCGAAGACGAGTAATATCAGCGAAAATTTATTTATCACCTCGAATAAACGTTCGCTTAAACGTTACTAAAGCATATATTTTATTTGTAAAAATAATAGATTCAACTAGATTAAAAGAAAATGAGAAAAATAAGAGGAAAAAAAAGAATATTTCTGGTTTCCCCTGTAAATCGTGCTTCTCCTCAACCATTCTCTATCATGCAGAGAAGCATCTCATTTTATCCAAAACGAATATTTATAGCTAATTATTTTTACTATAACTTAGTAAATTAAACTTTAATACAGTTTTAATGAAAGCGTAAAATTAAGCATTATAATTACGACATTAAATATTTATTTAAATAATTATTAATGTATATTGATTAAGTTTTAATATTGACTTTTTAGTTTTATATTGAATAATTAAGAAATAATAAATATTAAACTAACGCAAGTTGTAAAAAATATAAAAACAGATTAATTTATAATTTAAATTTGTTAAATTTTATTTTTAAAAGATTTGCTTTTAAAAATTCTCCTTCAATCAAACTCTTTGACGTCTGGAAAATAATATTTAAACGACTGAAACCCAAGATAAATATTAAATAAAAGGTGACAACAAAAACTCATTTTCAAAAAGGTGACATTTTTGGACTGCAGGAAATGACGTCACCACTGCGACATTTCTGTCAAACGAGGAAGGATGATGAAAACCGAAAAAAAGAAGGCATCATCGATACAACATTAGCTATTGAGGATTGTTTCCAACGTCTTCATTTTGGAGGTGATGAAACGTGCTACTGTTTCCCGATCGGGAAGCACGAGTCAGATGTTATTTCCGTTTAACGTCATCAACAGACATCGAGATTAGTGTAAAAGATCCTGAAGTTTTTTTTCCATTTATATATAGAGTATTTTTTTTTATCTTACCAAAATAAATGATTAGTTAATTATATATATTGGAAAAAAATTGATCGATAAATTCAACAAAATTCTGAAAACAGGAACTCGATATTCGCATAAATTTTATAATTCCTTGAAGGAAATTAAAGGAAATTCTCGTATCGTGTTATCGGATGCTTTGAAACCTGCTAAAATTGATCAACGAATTTAATTTTAAATCTCTATTTTCTCGACGTAATTTAACACAATCTGAAAACGTATTGAAAGATTATTTTAGTTACTGTCGAAAGACATTCTCTGATTAGATAGAATGCAGATACAGTTGTGTGTTTGTGTGCGAGACGAACAACGGAGTTTTAGTATTGGATGGCTTTTGTGTAGGATAGATGAATGGGATACCTACCAAAGAATCAACACTGTAGTCTAGCACTTTGATAAATGAAGTAGAAATTAAATGGAAACATGTTCTTATAAACAGAATTCTTTAACAAAATATAATTTTTCTTAAATCAAATGCTGAATTTTTATAAAAGTCGAATTTTTTAGGAAAAGAATTTAGAATTTTTTAAAAAGAATTCCTTTAAAAAAAATGTTTCAACAATACACGCTTTAAATATTCAAATTCACTTAATTGACCTTTTAAACTTAGCGATTTAAATTCCTGAAACTTTTCTGAAAGTTTGATCTCATAGAATAGAAGGTAGATGTTTTAAAATTAAGAGTTCTTGAAGCAAAAACTTTATTACAAAAGGAGAGAAGGTTGAGAAATAGGAGAAGAAAAGAGAAAGTTTTTCTTGAATTTAGGATTAAAAGATTTCAAGAGAATTTCTCTTTTAACTCCCGACGAACAATTTGCAATTCTACAATCGATCAACACTCAATAAGTGTACCGTAAATGCGATAATAGCCGTGGAACGTAGAGACGTTATAGTTGTTTTATAAGAACGTTGACTTTGAACAAATGGCATGAGAAAAGACAATTTGTCATCTGTTATTGGAAAGAATACGTCGTGTGCTGGCCACTGATGGTAATGCGGAGGGACAGGTGAAAGGTGTTCAATCACGTTTGTTCTCCTGCCTAATAACAATTGGCAGCAGGAAGATATGGCCGCTTCCTATCGACCCATCTTCCACATCCCTATTTTTCAACCTTCTTATATCTAAACATCTTATCCTTAAGATAAAATTGTTATCCCGAGCATCCCTTCTAGAACGGCTATTATTGTAAATATTTCGTAAAATAAAAACAGGAAAAAGCAGGAAGTAAGGCTCTAGAGAGGAACGATTCCCCATTCAAACAATCAACTACACTTAAATATTCGTTTTTATTATTTGTAACAAAGTGCCAATCGAACATGCTTTTCGATACTGTACAGCTACTTGTATACTGTCATAGATGGACCGTCGTTGTCATAGTAACGGCCAATAGGCAACACTGAGTCGGAAATAGAAAGGCCTATGTCACATTTACTTGACAAATGTGCACATAAAAAGGTTAATTTACCCAACTCTATTCACGTAAAGAATAGTTGTTTCTGTAGATAAGAGGTATCTTAAAAAAAACCGCATGTAAGAAATGCATGCGAATGATGATAAAAAAGGAGGAGCTGACTCTGTTTCTCTAGACCCATTTTATATTTTTTTATGTGAAAAATGTATGTGAAAGTTTTTCGGAGTATCAAGAAACGAGAGGATAAAATTCAGGGTGACACTGAGAATGACAAGATGGAGAAAAATATCATAAAGATGATGATGATGGAAATGATTTTAAAGCAAAGAAAAACTTGTCACTTCTTTGATTCACTCCATTTATAATATCGCCACCCAAAAAAGGGGAATTTTAATCGCAATTAAACTTTAAAAGATTATCCCTAATCCTCTAAAATCTTCCAGGAAAAAATATCTAATACGCTACTAGAATATTAAAAAGTAATATCTTCTAAACTAGGGAAAATACAATAATTATTTTTATAAATATTTAAAGGACAGAAGTATGAGATGAATCATTAATCACTCATCGAGATTTATTCCAATACAGCAAACAATTAACTTAGGTTTTCCCTAATTTATTACCTTGATAGGACGTGGTTGGTATCGGTTGAATTATTGATAAGATAGAAACCCAACAGCGAATTCCCATTACCTGCGGTTCAATAACTGACCGCTAGGTAAAAGATGTTGCAGGTAGTTCATGTAACAACTGAAAAAAATTGTTTTGTCGAGCATCATCACAACAGATATCAGCATCAACGATGGGATGTAAATGATGTTGGAAAGAGAAAAAGATGGAGATTTTAAGCTAGGCGAGAATTGGAAAAGATAACAATTGATCTAAAAATATATTTTTGGATGACAAGTGTTCATGTCTCACCCAATAAAACCCCCGTTGAAAATTGCCATAAGATGAAGAGACAGTTCGCATTATCGATTAACCTCATACTTTAGATTAATAGACATCTTACACGCTTTCGTCCTTTATTTTTTTGTAGGACAAACCCCCTAACGTGCAGAATGTGGGAACTAAATCATTCTAACACCATCTGGAAGTAAGAAATTTATTTTCGTCCGTTTATCTGCTCGTGTATCGTCCCTCCTACTGTTTCAGTTTGGACATTAAGAGATATTCTATCACTTCTGCTTTCAATTGTCCGTATTTGTCTTCTAAGATGGTTTCTGATAAAGTTTGTAACTTTTTTAAGGTTAGTTTACCATTAAATGAAGCTAACAATGGAACAATTTTGTTGGAAAAACGGGGAAAAACACGTTTAAAATAGGATTTTTCCCCCTTCAATCGAAACTTTTTTCCCTAGATTCTTTCAGCAGCTTAATGAGAGAGAATTCTTACTATTTACAAATCCGTAGTTGACATTATCGCAATCTTATCTTTAAAAAAATCTACTTTACCTTAATGTTTAGAGAGAGGAAAGCATTGAAAGTTGATATTAAGCTGCAGAATTGTGTTTTCTACCCTTTACTTTCTAATTAAATTCGTATCTAATCTTAAAACGTTCAATATCTTGTTTTCATCTAGAGAAAATTTTTCTCCAGGAATATTTTTTCTACCCATTCATCTAGCTCTTCTCTAGCATCAAGAATGGAATAATTAAAACAAAAATTTAATATTTAAAAGACAAGAAGAGGGAAAATTTAATTTGGTAAGTGCAGATATATTTTGTGACAGTCGTCAACTCTTGTTCCGAGCTGATAGAAACGTGGTCTGTGGCAAAGTTAATCTAATAACTCGAGAAT